GAGACGCCGCTCGGCATGTGGAAGGCGCGTGGCGCCGGTATCACGCCGGATTCGAGTCGGTTATCGCCAGCTCCTTTTTCCTCGTCAATCTGACGCTCTACTCCCTCAAGCCGAACTTGTCTCTCCCGGACGGGGAGGGGAGGTGAGCGTAAATGAACTCGAGCTCGGGCCATTTGCAGACCAAATGCGAGATAAACTTCCTATACATGAGTTGGTAGCCCCCGAGAAGGGGAGGGTCGAACAAAATGTGATTAGACAAACGGAAAGAGAACACACAATGGATATACACATAAAAAGCATACAATGCACAGGTGAGTATACAAATGGTCGGATGAAGAGAAGTTAATAGCTTCATATTGTTGTATCTTTAGGCCCACTAGTGAAAAGAGTGTGAAGGACTTTTAAACTGGCCTCTCCAGAAACCAGAGGATTATTACCATCGAATGTTGGCTGGCGATTTCATCGAACGTGCAATCACCGCAGCGTCCTCCGATTCCGACAGGTCCGTGGGCAGATTTCGTTTGTTCTGCTAAGATTTTCTTCTGAACAAGTAGTATAGCCACATAGTATAATAGTAGTAGTAGTAGTAGTAGTAGACTGATAATTACTCTTCTCACAATTATATGGTTGAGCTTGATAATAGCATTGTATTCCATTTAATGCTGTCTTCCAAAAGGTACGTTTGCAACCAAAACCGGATGAGGGTGTAAATAGGCGACATGTCCGAACTAAGCCTAAATATATTCCTTCGGTTATAAGCTGAATTCACACTATTTCGTCTAAGGTGATGAAGGAATTATAGGATTATGTCTCACGTTTTCACCGAAAGCCGCATAGCCTTACTTTCCAAAAGATATGCGCAAACGGATTGGAATGGAAAGCTAAGTGAAATTCATTCGAAACATGAGTTCTGCTCGTGGCACTGTGAAATGATTCAGCTACCAGTCCTTAATTATCTTAATACATCTCATATATTTGATCGACTGGCAGCTCGAAACCGAGTTAGAAACGATACTTTCTATCAGTTCCAGTTTGAACACATCTTCGCAACTTGGTCGGAGTGCAAGGGAGACCTTGTGGAAAGTACCTAGTCTTTTTTCCTCTGCCATAATATTTGTGATTTCCAGTATCGGACTATCGACTAGGTACATTCCCAAACGTTTTACCGGCATCGTCAGTGATATACGCCATCGTTGACACACTGTCAACTTATCAAACTTTGGGAGGTTGTAACTTTGTGCCAAAAATGACGCCTCTCCTTGACAATGCCGGCGAAGCGCATGAGAATGTATCAAGTCTGTGGGCTGATGCTGGAGATCACGAATACTATGGCAGAGGAAACAGGATTAGGTACATTTCACAAGCTCTCCCAGACGCTCCGACCAAGTTACAAAAACGAGGTCGCAGGACATTGCACTATGGAGTTCTTAGCGAAAATCCACAGTCAAAACCCCCAGTCAATCTTTCTTCCTAACCATATGAAGGCAAGTTACGAAGACCTTCCAATCGCTCTTTAAAATGAAGCAAAGTTTGCAGAAGCATTCGTGGTGGTGGCTTGTCGTCTGGATCCTATTCGCCCAGATCTCTTTCCAAAGCACCTGAAGAATTCAAGGCAAGTCAGGCTCACATCACGTTTATAGTGAGATTTTTGATCAAGAAAATATGCGTGCTTTCCACAAAAATCGGCACCGTTACATATTTTTGATATATTATAAGAGTATATCGAGAATTCCAATGATAAAACTTTAATCAGGCTTAACGAATAAAAGTTGGGTTTCGAGGAATCTCTTGTTTCATAATTGTTGAGCTTACTTCCATTTCGAGTGGA